AAATCATATATTCCTTTAGGCTTTTAAGAAGAGACTATTTTGAGTTCATGGAATTTTGCAACGGATGTGGAATATGTTGTACCTTTCACGAGAGCATCGGTAAACGGAGAGGCGCGACACTGTATGTATGGTCATTGCACGGTCTTAAAAGAACTCATAATTATAAACTTTTTAAAAATCTAAATATACGCTTTTTGGGTATAAAATGTAAAGACAACGTTATTTTCTGTAAAACGAGTAAAAGAAAGCACATGCTTATGCATGATTCCGGTAAAAAATATTCGAATTTATAAGCCTATCGAAAATCAATGTGAAAAATGCACGCTACTTAAGTAATCGTTCGTTACCGAGTGTGGCTTTTATAGGCGGTCGACAAGAAGTGCATTCAAAAACTGAAATCCTTGCGAGTCTGAAATACTATGGCATTTTGTCGTTTGATGAGCAACATTACAACCTCATTTAAGTAATCCTTCCCAATTGAAAACGCAGTTCAGAATTTCGGTCAACATTTCATCAAACCAGTCACGCACTGTATTTCGTGATCGCCAAATTCCTCTTATCAGTCTGTGTGACCAGTGCCAAACCAGCGCACCGAAGTAACCGACGGCAAGCAGCTTGTCTACTTTCAGCAAAGACAAGAGGGCATGTAAATCCGAGCAGGACGCATTCTTCATATCTCTGTGACCTACCACAGGACGACGTAGAAGCCCACAGTTATGGAGGAATTCTCCCAGCAAAGGCGACAATTCTCGATTACGACACAGTTGCCCATTCCATCTCCGACGACGTCCCGTCAGATGGGGAACACTTCGGCATCTCGTTTTTTTTCCTAGAACGGCCATTATAAATTAAAGTTTATTCTACATCTACCTCTATATGTTCAGAGAACCGGGACTCACAGAGATCGGTAAGGTCCGTCTTGTGCAGAATGGCCATGCTCCTTAATCGCCCGACCACGGGGTTATGTTAACAATTACGGTAATTCCCGGCTGTTAGATTGATTGAAGGCACTCTGACGGGAGGGGTGGTTGGACATGGAGCGATATTGTTTCCGTTGACGTTTTCGAGACCACAGTAATGTCAGGAACCATGCATCTGATAGGTCATATTTACCGAGCCCCTCCCTCATGAGAGGCAAGCAGGACTGCTTCCAGGTGGCCGCCGCATCCACTGTAGATCATAAATAAATTGGTGTGAATGTGATATAAATTAGTCTGGATCGCATACGCGATCATTACGGCTTTCATGACAAGGGAGGTTGTGCTTGACTTGGCACAAAGCTTCCGGTTAGGTTGCTGTAGCCGTGCCATAAGGAACATCTTAAGAGGAGACCATTTAGGCCTAACCTCGATACTACCAGATAACCCGATTTGTTTTATAAATTGGAGGGTTTCGGAAGCACAAGATTTGGCGATCCGCGGGAGTTTAAAAGGGCAAGCCTTTACCTCAACAACGCCGAGGTAGTTTCGCCCGGTCGGGTGACATTTGTGCGGTGCAAAACCCGCTCGCAGTAAAGGTCCGTTGTACAATCTTCATGTCTGGTTTGGCAACCCTCACTTCTTTTAGGCCTTGTGCTTTGAGGAAGTGTTTAATTATCATACGTTCCGGACTTGTGGTGATGATCTTCAAACGGTCTGGATCAATCTACGCCCGTGCCTGTCGGTCTCGTGATTTTCCCATTTTGTGTTTTTGTCTTCTTCATCCAGAAGATGAAAGATTAGGCTACCAGCAATGCGATTTACATCCAAATCCTTCATCGAAATGGCCGGATACCAAAACTGGTTTCGTGGTTCCGCGTGAATCTCAAGTCACCTCATATTGGCGTCTTGTCTCCTCTAAATTGTCTGAAGCACTTTAAACGCGTTGACTTGAAGCTTGAGCGTTATAACGTTGGGAACTAATGACATCAATAATAATCTGCTGAAGAGAGAACAGGATTTAAAATCTACTCTCGAAAACGTACATGGTATCGTAGCGTGAACCAGGTGACTCGCCTGGGGGTGGCGCTAATCTATCTATCCTGACGTAAATGAGCAAACAAACCTGGGAAAAGATCTCTAATCCCCACAACCCACTGTTGAGACATGACCAACCGGTGATGGCATATATGTCCTAGGCAATCATTCCATTCCTCCTGGTCCTTCTCAGCAATACTTACTCAGCCTTCAACCTGGCTCTATGTGCTTAAACTCCTGGCACAGTATGCGGGCGCAATTCAGATTTCTTGGTCAACCCGCATCGGCTAAAACTGTTGTACGTAACAGTTCGACTGTCGCGTCCGAAGTTATCTGCCGTGTGCTCCAAAGCAAGATGAAGCAGGCGCGGTGACTTGCTCGGGAGTTAGTTTATAGTGAATGTGGACTTCCGCTACATCTACCGCACGCTCTCCTCCTCTCCCACCCGAACCCGGTGTCAAGACAGAGGCGAGAAGACCGGAGGCGGGCGAGGGCGTAGGTGGATGGCGCGGCCGAGCCTGCACCTTGGCGTTCCAATCCACACCCCCTGGCTCAAACAACTGACTGTGATTTTAACCAAAAACTGCAGAAGATGAGGATGGTTATGCAGCCATGCTCACGACCTGTATACACCACGGGAAGGCAAGTTCATATACCGACAGGGAGTCAGGTGTCGGAGAACTACCGGCGTATACCAGGCTGCGGGGGCCACGGTTAGCTGATACTGGCATAACAGAGGCTTACAGAACTTAAGTCCCAGAAGGGTGACACGTGGTCCTGCATTTGCCTCGGCCGCCTCTCTGTTGTGCATAAAGATGACAGCACTCACAGAAGTGCGGGGACATAGTCCCCGGATTTCTCCATTGTCAGACTACCGGGTACTAGCATCCACACAAGCGGGCGTACGTCCCACGCCTCCACGAGACAAGTACCCCAGTCGCGAAGCTGCTTACCTTCCCCCTTACGTGTCCCGCACCTGCATGTACAACGGCAGTGCAGATAATCTCGGGATATGCCACAGTATGCCCGCAGACTTGACTACCCCGCCCAAGCACGTGGGTCGCTCCAGCCAGAATGCCACAGAAGCATTCGCCACTACCTCCAGGACACCCAAGCCTGTTATGTCGGTCCCGCCCACACCCTATCAGCAACTCTTACTCGTAGGCCACTAAAACTCAGCAACTTTGGATGTCTGACCGTAACTACGTGAAGGGCCCGCCCGGATGAGTTCTATCAGGACATACCGCCGAGCACACCGAATGCAATCGAGACCCGAGTGTCAAGGTCCAAGTGGACGCTTGGGCGGTTTATTTTACTAGATCCCGCACTCCTGAAATGACACTGTCTAAACTGAGCGCAGACTATGCGAATTTAGTTGCAGTGCGGTGTGGTTAATTATGAATAGAAGGTCGTCCCCAGGGCTGCTTCAAGATGTCCACAAAGGTTCGAATCACTCCTAGGCTGGAGTGGTCTAGGAAAACTCGCCCTACCTCACGGCTCGGTATCACGGAACCGGCAGACAAGCATGGTGATAAACGAATATGCCTTCGACCGGTAAGTCAATGGTGGGTTGGACTGCGGACTTCTCTCGAAAGGAGCAGGTGCATTGTGTGCCGGAAAGTACCAGGTGGACTTCAAAATGGCGCGTAATCTCAATCGGCACATGGCAAGGTGCTGATTTCTGGCTGGGCACCTCTCCAGTCACTAGTGCAAATCGCACTCAGAAAGGGGCGTACCGCTTCCCTCTGCGTTTCGGCGCCTGCAAGTGCTGGAAAGGATAAACCAAGAATTAATTTGGCATATTCACTACTCAGTTAGCTGCGTCCCCTTTTAGGTCGATGGTAGGACGTGAAGAAGTATCCCTTTCACCCTACTCCAGGAGGAACTAGAGTTAAAGTTGGGACACAGAAATAGGTGCGCCCCCGGGCAGGTACTTATCCCCGTGTCCAACTACGTCCAGACCTGAGTGAAAGGCATACTTCAGTTATGGAAAGTTAATGTCATGAAACTTTTGAAACGCTCGCAGGTTCATTGGTACTACTCTCGAGTGATAGCGCACAGCACGAAGATCAGAAATCCAAGGAAAATACGCAAGTTCCAGTCGAAAGTGGGAGGAATTCATTAAGTCCGCAAGGTTGGAACGCGAAACTTGAACTGGGCGCACGCTGCTGGAGGATTACTAGGACGAATTTATGAAACCAGTGAAGGTAAATGCCGAAGCACGTCTTATTTGGAAGGGCACTCAGCCAAGAAATCACTTGGCACCATCCTGTCGTAATAAGTTATAAATCCAAGTTAATGTTTGGCTCTGAGTAGCACTGCAACTTCATCAAAAACGTCTCCCGAGTTCGAACGCAGTTACCCTGGTGCGTCGGACCGGGGGAGACGCCGCCTAACGCGCAGACCGGTCTATTGCCTCAATGTAGATCGCAAGTATCGTAGAGAACGGTCTGACAAAAGGGAGACGGGCGAGTGAGCTAGAAAATGCACTATT